TTAAATGTGGTATTATGGACATCAACTTTCTCATGAAAGGAGGAGCCACCCCAGACATAAAATAAGGGAAGTACACGTGAAATTAAACCCCTGGGCACAGAAATGAAATCCTCTAAGGGAGAGAAGTGACGACCTGCAGTTGCATGGAAGGTAGGACAATCAAGGGGTCGCTGGCGCTCTCGGTTTCCCGTTACTGTAACTCGCAGGCGTTCATTGGGACGGGACCAGTGGCGGCAGCGGCAGCGGCGCCGTGTCCGTGGCGCTGCCCAGCGGCAGCAGCAGCAGCAGCAGCAGCGGTGCCGTGTCCGTGGCGCTGCCCAGCGGCACCAGCAGCAGAGCACCAGCGGCACCAGCAGCAGCAGCGGTGCCGTGTCCGTGGCGCTGCCCAGCGGCACCAGCAGCAGAGCACCAGCGGCACCAGCAGCAGCAGCGGTGCCGTGTCCGTGGCGCTGCCCAGCGGCACCAGCAGCAGAGCACCAGCGGCACCAGCAGCAGCAGCGGTGCCGTGTCCGTGGCGCTGCCCAGCGGCACCAGCAGCAGCAGCAGCAGCGGCGCCGTCTCCGTGGCGCTGCCCAGCGGCACCAGCAGCAGCAGCAGCGGTGCCGTGTCCATGGCGCTGCCCAGCGGCACCAGCAGCAGCAGCAGCAGAGCACCAGCAGCAGCAGCAGCGGTGCCGTGTCCGTGGCGCTGCCCAGCGGCACCAGCAGCAGCAGCAGAGCACCAGCGGCAGCAGCAGCAGCAGCAGCGGTGCCGTGTCCGTGGCGCTGCCGGGGCTGGCGCTGCCGGCAGGCGGCTGTCGAGCCCAGGACATGGCTTAGGGCTGTGCGTGCCCAAACTGCTGAGGGTGACCCGAGCCGCTCTGTGCTGGTAATGCGTGAACCAGTTCGAAACTAAAACTCGCTAGGGGGATTAAACAGTAACCTAGGATGCCGAGCATAAGGCAGATTTTGCACAACTGCACATACATTTGTTTCTGATTGTAATTCAAAGTCAGATGATGGTAAAATATTGCTTAGCAAATCTTAAAATGGGTGTTGCTGATTCTTTGCTACACATTCCTCTGCTATTCGTTTTTCTGCAGCTTCAGTTAGTACCATGACAGTCTCCATCTTTCCTTATTGATATGTATGTCAATCCATACACTCTGCTTGAAAGCTGCTATTGATGCCGAGAGCAGTGACTGTTCGAGTTTTTGGTTATTATCTAAAAGCTATAATCTTTATGCCTGTAGATAATATAGTAATGAAAAAAAATTGAATATAGAATTCACCATGGCCATACTTAACTCTGCACATTAGATACAGCTTGGTGTTCTTTTAATTTAAAGTAATGTGCATGGAAGGGGTTGGTGGGAGAATGGAGAAGACATGGGTTAGGTGAACTGGAGGTAGCAGAAATTAAGGTAGCAAAGCCATTTATGGTTATGTTTTGATATAATTCTGAAGGGATGTACAGTGGAAGCAAATGGATTTATAATATTCAAGCAGGCAATGAAAGCATTAGAGAGTTGAAAATCATATTTTAAAGTAGTGGCTTTTGTGTATTCCCTGATACTTCATGGTTGTCCAGCCTCTGGGTTGGGATACAGGTCATATTATCAAAAGGAAATGCTGAATTATCATGTGATAGTCTTGTTTCACTGGGGAAAAAAAAAGGCTGTGAAATAACGCTGTTTGTACTTATAATATTGCTAGTTGATGCTGATTGACAACACATTTTCTCTGCTACATATGGCAAGGAAAGATGTGCTCTTGGTTATAGTGCAGGCAAAAAAATGTGAGCACAGGATGTTTTGTAAAGGCAGATGGAAGTTCTCATTTTTCCTCCTATTTATAGCTGGTGTTTGTAGTGTCCTTTCAGTTCTGTGATCCAGTCACTGTTGATGTATTTCTGTTTGCTGAGATGAGAGGGAAAAGAAAGAAACAAGCCTTTCTTTTGCTATGTAAAATTTATTTCAGTACAGGAAGTGGATGGAAAAAGATGGAGGGGTACAATTCTTCCCACAAAAATTCAGAGATAGGAGAACAATTAGAATTAGGGCATTCCAAGCAGTGGCTGAGTTTGCACTAATAAATGAAATTTTCCTTCTGCCTTGAGGCAGAAGGTCTAACTAATGTGGTCTCACTAATACAGTTTCCTGGTAATTTTCTGCTTTAAATAAAAAACAAATCAGTACTCAGAGTAAAACCATACGTTTATTTTGCCTAATAGTTGAAATAGGAACTGAGTGGTAGTAAGTCTCTAGGCAGATGCTGAGCTCCCAAGACTTTGCATTCTGCTGGTTATGGTTAACCAGGCTCTGGGAGACACAGGAAGTCTGTGGGGAGCTGGGCACAAGCTGAAGTGTCAGGACACCTATTCTTTTGTCTCTAAGTATTTCCTGAGCTGTGAAGTAATGATTACCCACTCACCACATGGAAGTGTTATGAACATCAATATTTTTTAAAATTAGAGCACTTAGAGTGCTGGTGATGGGGGAAATACATGTGTAAAGGAAGGAGGGAGCTAAATTCTTTTGGTTTTGAAGCAGAAAGGGATAATATGGTTTTTGCAACCCTTCTTATTTTTTGTGAAGTAAAAATCCAATTTTAATATGACAAAGAGACTGCTGGCTAGCAGAGAAAAGGATTAATGGCACCTTACACTGAGACAGAGATATTTGGAAGTAATTTGTTTGGTCCTGCTGAGTTTTGTGGCAGTGGAAAGCTAAGCTGCTTCAGTCTTTAGAAAGTGCGCCCACAGGGAGTGCCAGACAGCTTTTCTGCCACTCCAAATTAATGATTCAGATTGTTTTTCTGCCAAGATAATATCCTTAGATACACTTGGAAACTCAAGTAGATTCTGTTGAAAAGGGAACAGAATTAACAAAATACACAACTACTGTAATAATTAGAATTATGTGGATTCAGTCCAAATGCAGAATTGGGCAGTTTTCTTTAAAGCCTGCATTAATGAGTCAATGTTGGGGGAAACATCTAACTATAAAAGTAAATTTTCTAAGCTAAAAATAAGTTGTCATCATCCGTCAGAAGGTGGTAGTGATTTATGAGGCTACTAGAACTATTCAATTTATCATGAAGCCTTTGCTGTGTTTAACATTACTTGAATATGTCTTTAATATGTTCTTGAGTCCCTTTGGTTGCATCCCCTCCTCCAAATGATGGTTTTAAGGATGTGACTAGAAGAGTAAAAATATTTAGGGTAATATTTGTTTAATTATTTCTAGGCTTAGGGTCAGTTGCATTCCCAGATAATGGAAACAATGTCACAATTCTCAGTGATTCATTTTACTGTTTCTGGTAATGTCCCACAGAGATGTGGTAGACTCTTCCCCTTGTCTTACAGTTTGCTGATTTCACATCCTCAACTGCTAAACTGGAGGAGAGCTCAGGATTTATATGGGAATCTCCTAAGCAAGAGGGTGCTTAAGCAGGAAAAGGGGACAACAGTGACTGGTGTCAGATTTCTCACTAAGCTGAAGTGGTAAGTATTATGCTGCTAAGACTTCTGCTTTTTTTCAATTAATTAAAAATTTGTTTCAGTCACATGGTCTTAATATACTGTTCATGAATTCCAAATCTTGCAATAATTTGTCTAAATGTTTTTTGTCTCACAACTTCAAATTCATTACCTCTGTAGTTTATTGTGATTTATAATCTTTCTGATTGACTTTAAGGTGAGGATGAAATGCACATCTCTATGTATGTACCTGATACATATATGTGCTTCTGTTTTTGGAAGAAGTATGGGTTAAAAGCAAACTAAAAATCAGAAATCAATCTTGAAAATAGTTGTGCCCATATTTAAATTCAAACACTAACGAAACTACTGAAATACATTGGGAAGAAATAGGCCTTGCACTTGACTTTTTGGAATATTCTTCATCCTTTGAGGCAGATTTTGTACTAATTATCTACAAAATGAGAATCACAATGCCAGCAGAAACACTAGGTTGGGTCCCAGAAACAGTATGTTACTGTGTACAGTTTCTAATGTGCCTGATTTCTGAAGTCTAACTGCTAACCTCCAAAGATGAATAATTAGCCAGACTGCAGCAGTGCTCTGGTACAGTGATAGTCTCCTATTCTGGTGCTAGCTTCTTCAAAGCCTGCTCTGGAATATCTTTTGGTTGCTCCTCTTTATCGTGGACATGTGCTCTTAAAAGGCAGGAGCACCCAGAGCTGCTGTGCTAACACCTGGCCTATTTTAGAGTATTTCAGAGCAGCCTCTCAATCAGTTCAGGAGGTTGTGAGGTTACTCAGAATCTCTGGAACATCCCGATGCTTGCTTTACCTTTGCGTTTGTAAAGGTGTTTTTCAGGGAGAGCTGCGTGGAAAGAAGGAATCCTGTTTGTCCTGGGAAAACGTCTCATTGCTAAAATGAGGCTTTTTAAGCGTTACTGAGTAGCTAAATATTGTATTAATGTACCCATGATACAGGCTGCAGTTTCCTTCTCCTAAAATGTCTACAAATCACTAGAAAACATGTGATTTTATTACATTGCTCTAAATAAATGCTCTAAATTCTGACTATTTACTCCTGTTTGCAGAAATTTGCACTTCACCTTTCCTACCATCTCAATTTGTGATTTACATGTAGAGCTGTGATGTAAACAATACAAAAATCGTTGTTTACGTCTGTGTGTCGGCGCGGTGCCCGGTGAGGAGGGGGCGAGCCGGGGCCCGGCGGCTGCCGGCCGTGACTCAGCGCTTTGGGGAGGCGGGGAGGCCTCGCAGCCGGCCGGGACTAAACCCCGGGGCCTCGCCGCCGCCTCGTTAATGAGTAACAACGGGGGGCCGCTCCGGGCGCGACACCTTCGCCCCGCGGCCGCTCGGGGCTCCGGGGCAGCGCCGGCCGCTCCCGTCCCGGCCCCGCCGCTCCAGCCGGACACGCCCCTCTCCCAGTCTCCTCCGCGGCTCCCCCTCCCAAGCCAGGCGGAGCTGGAGCTGGGAGCGACGTCGTTCCTCGCCGCCGCCGCCGCCTCTCCCCAGTGACCGAGGGCACCGGCGCTGCCTGAGGGGGCCCCGTTGTCCGGCCGGCGCCCGACGCCTCATCCCCGCCTCTGCCGGAGCCGGTACTGCCCGCGGAGCAGCCATGAGCTGGGGCACGGAGCTGTGGGTGAGTCCCGGCTCGCCTCTCATTGTGTCTGAGATTCGCCGCCTTCCCCTGTCTGCTCGGGCGGCTGCCCCGGGGAGGCGCGGAGCGGCCGGAGCCGAGGCGCTGTGCTTTGTTCGGCGCAGGGGCGGCGGGCAGGGGCTGGGGCGGGGCGGGGGTCCGGCGCTGGCGGAGGGCGGTGGCGCTGGGCCGGGGGCCGCGGCGGGGCGGGAGCGCCGCGTCCGGGGTGCGGTGCGCGCGCCGCCTGCGCGGCCATGGCGCTCCCGGGGCGGCCCCTCGCCCTCCGCCCGCCCGGCGCGGTCACGGCGGGACGGGCGCTTTGTGTGCGGCCGGGGGAGTGCCGCGCTCGGCGCCCGGCGGCGCGGCCCTCACCGCGCTCCCGACACGGCTCGGGGCGGGGTCCCGGCGCGGCTCGGGCAGCGGCCCGCACCGGGCAGCCTCGGGGCGGCGGCACAACTGCTGCTCCCCCGAGAAGCGCCGGGCTGCTCACAGCAGCGAAGCGTTTTCAGCTGCCGGCCCTAACTAGACGCAGCTACTGTATAGCTTTGTCTCTAAAAGTACCGCAGAATATTGGCTAACACTGCATTGTGTTTGTTTTAAATACGAAAATTGGGAGCAACGAGACAGGCAGTTTCTGCCTCGCGTTAGCTCTTTCCTTAAGGCTCCCCTCTTCCCTCCGAAGGCTCTTTGGCCGTGCCGAGGACGGCAGAGGGGTTTCTCCCGGGGGAGTGCCGGAGCGAGGCACGGCGGTGTCGGCTCGCATGGCGGGGTGGCGGATCTCCTCTGCCAGGTTTCCTGCTACTCGTGGGAATGCTTAGGCATAAAATAGAATACTACTAAGCAGTGTTTAACGTCCCCGCTTTAAATGCCGCCTGCTCTGCATTTATTTGCTTTTAAAAACTGTGAAGCAGAGACTTGTGCTAAGAAAAAAAAATACAGAAAGATAAACGTGGCCGCTTGAAGTCTGGTCCAGGAATTCTTAATCAGGACCTAGCATTACAGGTGGTTTTTGGGGGTTTTTTTGTGTTTTTTTTTTTTTTTTTTTTAAGCATTGGATTAAATACCTTGATCAATATTTTGTAGTGCAGAGCCACCAGTCTGTAGAGGAGCAAAGATCTGCTCCACACGCAGCCAAGTGGTTGCCCGAGGAGCCGGGGCAGCCGTGGCGCTGCGGGCGGGGTGCCTGGGTGGGGCGCGGGACTGGGAGCGCCCGCGGAGCTCCTGAAGCCACCTGAATTGAGTTGTGTCTGATTATGCAAAATGAGGATGTAACAGCATCACGTGTACTACGCCGAGAAGACTGATTTAATAGTATTTAGGGGTTACTTTAGTGTTTTGCATAGTACCTTGTTCTTCACTAGGATTTGTAGGCACGCTGAGAATTCAGACAAAATATGCTTTTTAAGTACTGATGACGCTGCTGTAAGCAGGCCTGAAATCTAAAACTGTTGAGACATTGGCAGTGAGGAGTAAGTAAAAGCTGGGATTTATATTGGCCACACAAGAGTGTGTGTGCAGCTCATGGCTGTATGAATTTCAGGTGAGGGGTGAGTGCCACTTGAGAGGAGTGGGGTTGGCATTTGGGTGAGCACTGACTGTAAGCACTCAAATATGTATTGCTTTACAAAACAGAGTTTTAGCTTACTCAGATCTGCTCATTTTTGCAGCCTCTTAATTGTGGGTTTTTTGTTTTTTTTTTTTTTTTTTTTTTTGTTCAGCTTGTAAATGACAGGTGAAGGTTTTATATTCTTGTAAATGACAGTCAAAGGTTTTATACTCTGTCTTGTGGTCAGTTTTGTATGAAATTGCTTGTCTTTGTCCTGCATTTAAGAAGCATATTGAAAAAGATGGATTTTGACCTCAGACTTCCTTTTAATGACAGGCATTTAACTCACAGTGTTGTGAAACTAGCTGAAGTTATTTTGACCTACTATATTTCTTTTCTTCTTAATCACTAATTCTTATGCATTAGTTGGAAGAAATAATTCCAGAATTTTAAGCTAAAAGTTTTACTGCAATACTTCTCTTTTAGCAGAATTAAATGTATTTTTTGCTTGATATCTGGAGATGACCTGCAACTCTACACTGAGGTAACTTCCTCCATAAAATGGTCTGTTTGTAACTATGTAACTAGACTTTGACAATGCAAGTTTTTGCATTACGGGGTACCTTTAAATTTTTTTAGTTGAGTTTAATTATACTTTAAAAAATCAACTATGTTATGAATCAAACCAGTTTCTTAGCTGGAAGAATATTCAGGGCTTCACTTACTGTAAAAAACATGAAACTTTAATTGTTGTAACAACTTGTGCTGGGCAAGTAAAGATTACTTTTTGGAGATCTGGCACAAAATCAAATTCATTAAGAATTATCTTAAATCTAGGTTAAAAACACAAGGAAAAACAGTATTGGGGATCTTCAAAGATAGAGCTCTGAACAAGATAAAAATAAATTCTTAGACACATTTATGTTCTGGTGTAGTAATTCCTCCATCATTCCCTGTTGTGAGTGTCAGTGGAGCTTCAGGAGGCAGCCTGAGCTGCTCTGTGTTTGCTGATGGCAGCAGGGCACGAGGTGTTCAGTCCCCAGCTGCAGAGAAAAGAAAACCTCTTCTGCTCAGAATTTCTGGGCACCTCATTGTGCCTAAAGCTCTCCTTCATTAGTGCTTTCAGCTCATAAAATAGAATTTCTCAGGGTTAAGTCTGGTATCTAGGTCACAGTTTTTAAAGACATTTGCACTTAGGTATATATGCTTCACTAATTCATTGAAGCATATTTGATGATTCTGTATCGTGCTTTTTTAATATCTCTTTAACTCTGCCTTCTTAAATTGTATCTCTTCATGCTGATTCACAGTTCTGAGGATTTTTAAAAATTGTTGTGGAGTTTTATACTGTATACTATTTTGGATACAGTAAAAAAATGAGCACAGATTAATGTAGAAACAAATAAGGAGCCAGAAGAAAAATTAGGGGATAAGGAAGGCAACTCATGTCTGGTATTTATGTGGTAATTATTAAATATAGCAATTCTGTTATTGAAATGATACATATGTTAATTAAATGGTTACATCAGGGACAGGACAAAGGAAAGATTTTCTTTGGCCAGTATTTTCTAATTCTTTAAATTAGGTAGCTGTTTGTTTTTTAAGCAAGTTTTTTTTTTGTAATGAGTACACCACCATTCTCTGAAGTGAGTGTGCATTGTACCAAATGTGTATGTCTTGATTAGACTAAAGCACGTGGTGCTTTTCAGTGTGTCTTGGCCAAAAAGCATAATCTTTGTTGTGTTTCTTTTGATAGCATTGTATGAAATAATGTAAATTAATAATAACAAAATAAATGTCAAATCATTTAAGCCATCCTGGATTAGAACTGTTTCATTCCACAACATTTTCTGTGCTGTGGGAAATATGCTCTCCTTTTCTGCTTTCTTACTACAATAGAAAATTTTGATTATGCTTTGAAAGTAGTATTCAACAAATAGTTTCATTCTAATCGGTGTGTATCTTTGTGGTCACTCTAGCATGTTCCTTATGGTATGACCCAAGATACTTTGGTGAACTGCTTTGCATAATATTCTCTTAAGGGTTAGAACAGAGTAGAGAGCACAGGCAAGTCTTGTCTAATTCAGTTGAAATGTATTTTAATATTGGGTGCCAAATTTTCCTATCTCTGATATATAATTTCTTTGTAGAAAACATTTGTTAAGCAGTAATCATCTGAAGAAAGGTGGCACATAATTGAAAAGTAGCATTGCTGCACTTCATTAGTAGTAGAAAATTGCTGCTGTTTACTTAGATACAGATACTTTTCAGAATTAACTTTTTGGAGTTTGTCATGCTTTTTTCAAATACTGCACCGTTATGTTTACCTCATGAGCAGTAGAAGCGTTTATACATTGAAGTTGTGGTTAGATTTGCATTTTTGCTTTATAAAGTGCCCTGACTTCTATCACACTGTGCTGCAATATCCAAGGCAAGAATAGATAGATGGACTAAAATTGGGGTGGGGTTTAGTAACTTTAAATATTTGGAAATAAAAATGATAGATTATGATACGTTTAAGAATCTTCTCAGCACGAGCATCTGTTCAGTGTGTATGTTTCTGTACATCTGGAGTTCTTTTTGTGGTGGGCGTGAAATGTACAAATAGCATTAACACAGAATATTTAAAAGATACATCTGGTTATTGCCATCTTGGGGTATTGTGCTGCTAAATCGAATGTGTAGTGCATTTGCTTTGATGCTAAAAGCTTACCAAGCTTTGGAGACTGGAGTGTAGCTGATAATGAAGTTCTTGGTGTAATGAGAGGAGACAGTGTGATTGGCACTCTGAAGTGGCTTCTTTGGAAATTAATTGAAGAGTTTGTGTTGTCTCTCTAAAAAAAAAACCAACCAGGAAGGATACTTTATACTTTTTAACTTCGGATGCACGTTCTGTTGTTCCAACCCCTGTGAACTCCTTAATAGCAGTTGGCAGAAAAAGAGTTTGAATACCATGTCAGAACATTTTCAGTCTGTAGAACCAGTCTAGCCATCTGTTTCTCACCTCTTGATAAATATTTAAAACAGAAATTTTGCTGAGGGCTTTTTGTGCTGAGATTTCATGATTAAAAAGAAATGGCTATAGAAGATTTAATGATACTATTGTTGTGAGCTCCTTGGGGCCAGAAGCACACCATCTTTTATAATTAAGAAACCACTGGCACTGTAGAGTAGTATTTTAGAAATTAGTTATGTTGGACCAAAGAAAGATCAAAGTATACTTGGTGATGTGCTCTTTTTAATCTTTCCTTAAACAAAATTCATTCTGTGCATAAACCCAAGTTCTGTTATTAAAAATATTAAATAACTCAGTTGCATCAGTAGTTTTTCAAAAGCTGTTAAAAAATTTCTTATGGTTTCAGTACTGCTCTTTCAGACATTGTTTCCTCTTGCTTTAAAATCTTAGTCTTTTTTTTGTAGAAGATAAATCATGTGGTGATGTTGTCTAATCTTAAAA